GGTTTTCGACCACCGATGCCTCAGAAGCGTGGCTGGTTTCGGATGGCGTCAGCGTATCAGCAACGAGGCGATTAGAAAACGGGTATTTGGTTGTGCTGCAGGCACCTCAATCCGGGAAAACATCCAGCATCATCGACTACGATGGCTCGGTCATGTGCTACGCACGCCAAAACAACGTCTACCGAGACGAGTGTTGTTCTCCGTGCCTCCTCCAGGATGGCGCAAACCGCGAGATGGACAGCACATGACTTGGCAAAAAGGCGTGAAAGAGATCACGAAGAGTTTGGGTGTTGTTGGTGTTGTGAGACTTCCAGGATGGGTTCCCCGTGACCCCGTCTGTGCTTGGCTGGAGACATTGCAAGAAATGACGGCTAATCGATGTCAGTGGCGTTCTTGCTGTAAGTTTCTTTCCAGATTGATTGAGCGGTTGGAGGTGTAGGCACCTCAGTGTGCCTGACATAGGCCAGCACTAGGTCCCCTCCCTCACCCACTCTTTTTCTCTTCTCTTCACTGTAGGGCTTTTAATACAATTATATATATGTGTATATATAACTGAACGAACTTTATGGTTGTACGGCAGTGAAGCATCAGTGCCAACACTGATGTTGCTGTCATTGATGATGATGATGATGCGCTGTACCTAGTCGAACAAGAGTTGATAGTTGGTTAAGCGCATACGCTTTATTATGTGCTTCCATTACTTTCTACGCGTTCCAACTTTTTCAAATTCAGTGTAATCCTCTTGCGTCTTCCCATCAACCGCGCTGGGTGTGAATCGACCTGGTGCGTTTGATGCCAACATCATTACGTGACAGGCACACTAAACATACTTTTTAAAATAAGCACTGTTCTGTGCAGAACGTGCGCATCCTGAAGATAGTAGTGCTATTCTTGGTGCTGATGACAAGTCCCTACTCAACCAACCTGATCCTAAGAAACACAGAATTGAGCGTCTGGCAGAACGTCTTTCGTTTCACTGGTCTGTTGTCTTTTACAGTCTACCGCACACCCGCTAGCTCCTAAAACAAAGCCCTGATCCTACAGACGGGTGTTAAGCCATTGTAACCATAGTGCTATGAGCACTACGAGCTCTCTTTACGAGCTGACTGAACTGTCCATTTGAAAATCCACAGGGGTCATTTGACGCCGCCCAGCAGAGGGTTCCACCTTAAGGCTGGTGATCTACAATAGGACAGTAAATTGGAGGCTCAAGAGGAATTTGGATTCCTGAAACGTTTGATCCTGAGGTGGTTAGTATCGGCTTATGGACACCTGTATACGGGAATTTGATCGATCATTTTTGCGGCAGTCTTTTCATGCTGTCCGGCACACAGCGCTCACATTAACTACCTATATCCGTATACTTTTCTCCTTTTTTCTCACTCGTTTGACAGCACGACTAGCAACCGTTTTTCTTATCCGTCAATATTTTTCCCGTCTCTTTAGACGTTATCAAACATGCACGTTCTCTACACCACCTGCAGGACGGTGCGTCTAAAAAAAATAATTCTTTCATCGAAATAGTTCTGTCCACCTGGGTCCTTCAAGGGTGAGATCCTTGATTAGTTTCCTCAAGTATGATTCTGTGAATTGTAGGTTTCTTACAGCATTTTTCCATCATAATTATAACTTGCCATTGCGAATGTCTCTACATCTGCCGTTTTTTTCATTTAGAATACGGAAGTGGATGAGCGGCTGTCCAAGCTTCCAAAGTAAGTATGCTGCTTAGCCACCGACCACTTTTTCTGTTACTTTTCATGTAGTGTTCAATACGTGGGAGTGGCTTCCTGCTGGGATGATCACCCTTCCCTA